ACATTTCTTGTACAAACACTAAAATTGATTTTTTTTTTCTTTTACTCATTTACAACATTAAAAACTTTTAACATACGCATTTTTTATAGTTTTGATTTTATGCATTTGCACTAAGTATTAATTTGCATTAGCTAAGTATTTTGTGTAATTAATTGTTTATCGATTGTAATTGGCAAAGAAGAAAGAATAAGAGCCAAAAACAATGCAAACATATTTTTTAGACTTTAGTTAAATGCAATGCAAAAGAAAAATAAAATTAACGGCTCAAAGCTTGTGAAACATATTATTCAAGAATTGTTATATAGAAGATATATATATATATATTTGTATAGGATACCTTGAGATTGGCGAACAAAAATCATCTTTGGCAAAGGTTTTAACTAGACTTTGATTGTTGAACGCCGCACCGATTGACTATTAAAGCATTATATATATTTTTTATTATTAATCGATTGTTATCGAAATTTGCTATCGACTAAAACTTAATTTGAGAAGGAGAGAGGGCATCCAAAAAAATAGCATTATTCAATAATCACAATTAACACTATAAAAACGAAACACAAAACTGTCTGTTCTGTGCCCTCGCATGAAAGTGGGCGTGGTAGTCATCGTGAACGCCTCCCGTAATGCGTGCTTCTATGATAGAGTGAGTTATATGTTGATGTATGTGTATTTATGTGTGGAGTGTGGGTTTATATATAGTTATTCAAAAGTATTAGAGCCTAGAGCAAGACAAGGACCGAAAAGTCCAACAGTTGAGTTTTAGGCAACTGTGATGTGCCGATGATAACTGGGTTGAGGGCAGAGTCAACAAAGAGGGCGGGACAGCACATCACCTGCGTCATGGGGGTCTATGTATGTGTGTAAGGATAAAGGGTCATGCTACAAAAAACACACACACTCGAGATATCTTACGACATCTTTAAGTTTTGGACGCAGGGAACTTTTCGCTCAGCAAAATTGATGTGACACGTTTTCGACTGAGCAGCGCAGACAGATGTTAAACAAAAAACTTAGTAGGGTATATAGAGTAGACGGTGTGTATATCTGCGCCTTCTTTCAGCTACTCGCGTGTCGCCCAGCGCTAAGGACAGACAATTTTGGTGGCTTGACATATAGATTTATATAGTATATATAAAAATACCTATGAGAAAACGAGTTCGATTGTTTTTAATATTTTGTTTTGTACTTCAAACAACGCGTGCAGCTTACACTTACAGTTATTGTATATGATACAGAGTTATATATGTATATCGCAAGAGTTAACAGTTATAGATCAAAGAGATAAAGTAAATGAAGAGTGAACAACGGCTAGCCGAAGTTTCATATAGAATTGCAGATGTTTTGCTGAGAGAGAGAATTAATTCGCTTTACACTAATTATATACATATGTATACCTTATATGTAAACCTTTACAATCGATTGTCCCTATGGCAGCTTAGATTATGCAAGCTAAGTTATTTCTAATTTTTGAATTTTAGGAAAATACTACATCATAAGAAATTGTTGTTTCAGTTTCATCAATATAAGAAAATCTCTGATTACTAACACGGAACACGATATATCAATAAATTTCCTTCACATACTGCAAGACTATCAGTTCAGATGTACGAACGCAATATGACCGTCACCAATAGCTCAAAATAGGAAAGGAATACTCGGGCGCTTAATGAAAAATCAACAAACTACATTTACTAATAATAAAAGACAACGATGAAAAAGAAAATAAATAACAATTATAAAACGCGCTCAGGAAATATATTTACAGTTGATATATACGATAGTTGTTGTCAAATATTTAACTAGCAGTTAAGTAGTATGTGCGTGTGAGTGTGTGTTTGTGTGTATTTGGAGAGCCACCAAATCGATTTATGTCTGTCTGTCCCGCATTGAGGTACACTCGTCTGAAGCACGCCGTTCTAACATCGCATAAATGCCAACGGCCCCACCTAGAGACAACAGAGATAGGGTGTTGGGCGGTGGGCGTGGCATTGAAAAAGGCAATGCGGCGAATATGCCAGACCCGAGAGTCCAACATCAATTTTGCGCTAAACCCAACCAGAGACTACGCGGCACAAATTACCATCAGAACTCTGGAGGATTTTTCACTTGTCTTACGTTTGATACTACATATATAGTATATATAAGTAGATACCGTTACACATAACATATATATGGTTGTGTGTATGTGTATAAATATATGTTTTACAAATACAAGTTAGTGTACATACGGGCTATTTGTTAGAGGGTAGGTTGAGGGATGAGTGGTAACAAAATTTGACTAGCCTACACTGGGCGAGTATTCCGATTGAGACCGATTCTGAAAATCATGCCAGAACTCTATTATTAAATATATATAGATATACCCTGTAATTACAAGCTACAGATACAAAAAGAAAATAGTTTCTGTGACCAACTTAGGAGGTATCAAACGTTTGATTTAGTAATAGTTGTACATGGACCACATTAGGATCCATTGATAAAGCCTCAGCTTGATTATTGTTAAAAACTTGTTTTTAGTTTGCTAGGAAGCTAGAGTTTTTGAAGTCCGTGAACCAATGGAAGAGCGCTACGTTAACAAAGAAACTAACTATGGATTGCTAGATAAATATTGAAACGAACTATAAATGAATGTACTTACTAACAATGTGCGGAAACGCTCTGGAGAGAATTACTTTATAACTACAGATTTTAAAGAGGATTGTTTGCTTTGTTTGCATATTAGTACGATACCATCCATAACCAAGAAATATTGTTACATATAAATGATGTAATTGAGAAAGAAAAAATTAATGTAGATACCTGAATTGTGGGATCGCAGTGTTGCCGACCGAAATTGAAGCGGAAATCGAAATCAAAAGTAAATTTTGTACATAACTTACGAGTACACTTGTTTGTCAGCTGTAAGTAACGAGTAACGGGTAACGGGTAACGAATAACGAGTGGATGAAAGACGACTGATATCATTTTTGCTTTTGTTTTTGTGGTGAAAGGCGGGGAAAATGGGGGATAAGAAGTACATAAATGCAGGTAAAAGAGGTTACACATATTCATATTGTATAACAGTATGTATAACAGTTTGGGGAGCATCGCACATTTGGACACTTAACTAAAAAGCTACGCACAGATAATACAAATTCGCACACTATTACAATATATGCACATATGTATATGTATGTATTTTAAACAAATCGCCCGATTCTTACCCGGGGGAGAGGGGAGCGTACTGCTTCGTTTCTATCTATCGTTTATATCTGAGCATAAACATTACAAAAACGAAAGAAAGAGAGAGAGATAGTTTGTGTGAATGAGTGAGTTTAACAATGGGGCGTATTTTAACTTGTTTTTTGCCCCTAAACACTAAAATGTAATGAAAAAATAAAAATAAAAAATTTAATGTAATGTAAACAAAAAATATTATTTTAAATATTATATAAGTATGTTAGGTATTATGAAATTAGCTCGTATTGTACAAATACAGTTACAATTATAAGGCTAAGTAGAGTGTTATATCATATATATCTATATATGTAAAGAGATAGTGAGAGAGAGTAAACTAGACGCTACAGAAACAATATAGCAAAGAGAACCGCGTGCCAGCACAAAGAGCAAGGGATAGAGATAGATTGAGAACGCCAGATGAGAAGCGAGCTGCGATTAATTTAGCACATATATACAGAGTATTGTTAGTAAATTTAATATGGTGTTGTATACATACATATGTGTGTGTGTTTTGCAAGTACACTCGAATTTAGTTGGAGAAATGTTAAAAGAATTTGGAAATCGAACGAAAAGCAAAGTTAGATGCATCAACTAGAAAATACTCTGAATATATATGTATAGACAATATAAAGCTACGCATATTGCTGTTAGTATGTGTGCGGCCAGTGAATGCATGTGTGTATGTGTGTGTGTGTGTATGAATCGAGTGTCTCAAAACTGTTATACATTTAAGAAAAAGAGCTTTGTGGAATTGCGTAGCTTGAGTATGAAAACTTGCTTGCAGTTGTTGTGATTGCTTTTTG